AGAAAATGTGTATTTAAATGGTGTCATTTGTTTAGACAATAAGCCTTTGCCTTATTTGTGGCAATTATTTTGTTCTGTACACTGGGCTCTGACAGAGAGTCAGCTGTTTCACCTTTCTTAGAAAAGTCTCACAAAAATGTGCACCTAAACATGACCCCTTGTCTCTCTCATTAAAGGTGGATTTGCTGAAATACCTCTGAGGCACAAATCCATGGCCCACTGGACACAGACTGCACCTGTGCTGACCCCCTTTGGCAAAGTATACCATCTCTATTTGCGTAGGTCAGATTATATCTACTGGAGGCTTTCATTGTGGCTGTGGTCCTGTCAGTCACGTAGGGTCATTGTTGGATGCCAGCAAAATATTCCCTTCACAGATGCCATTCTCAGGCTCTCTGAATCCAAGGTCATCTGGCAAGTCTGGATGTAAACAGTTTACTCAACCATCCTCTTAAATAACACCTTCCTGAGCTTTAGTATTCAAGTATGCACACTGTATTTAAAAGAACTACTGTACAATGCATGGCAATGAATCACAACTAAATACTAATACAGCTAATAGATTTGCATGTGTGTTTAAGATGCCTACCATATAGTCATAAGAGGATGGTTATTGTATACATATAGACTTGCACTGACTGCCTAATGGCCTAAGAGTCTCTGTAAACATATGCACTTGGCTAAGCCATGCGTACAAGTTTATGTAATCAATATATGAGGTGATTAGACGGGGAAGACCTAAGCAGACAGCTATGGCTTGTCAGCAACAGCAATTAGACAAGAATAAATGGGAGTATCCTCCTGCGCTTTATATAGATAAAATCCCTATAATATCCCTATAATAATAGCTGCTGTCACTCGACTAAACCAATAAGTGATCAATGTGTTTACATAAATTAGTGAAGCGCTGTATATTTATTACCAATAAATAAATACTAAAGTGCCTATTATAACTAACTACTAGTGCTCTGTGAAAAAAAGCTCATATACATATATACATCTTTACAGTGAAAAATGCACAATCTTAAAGTGAAATGGTGATGACAACCATACCATGTGCATATATAATGTTCAATCAAATTATTATACACTGTATCACAAAAATAGGAACATCATCTGTGAATAATCAGTATAAAAAAAAATGCAATGCAAGTGAAACTTCGTGAAAAAGTGATCTTCACTTCTAGTGCACAAATCCTCAAATGGCAGCAGTGCCTGCTCACCTCCCCACAAAAAAAGGGCCAAAAGGCTATTACTCTCCTCTGTATCAGATCCTCATATGTAGATTGCTCATCCAGGGATCACATGGAAAATGGAGACTTCTCTGTTCCACTCCACCTCCACTCAATAGTATATAAGACACAAGAGAAATCCTTCCATAGTGCAATAATGTTTAATAAGGACAGCATAAAAGACAAAAATTGCACTCACATATATTCCTTGTTACATCAGCATTTCACCCCATCCCATGGGTGTATTGCATGAAACCAGGGGAAACCAATATGGCCGCTGCGTCCGGACGTGCATCACCACGTGACCGGAAATGACATAACTTGAAACCGGATATGGCGTACCGACGCGTTGTGTTACGTGCGTCGTGACTTTTTCACAGAGTACTAGTAGTTATAATATGAACTTTAGTATTTATTTATTGGTAATAAACATACAGCGCTTCACTAATTTATGTAAGCAATTAGACAAGGTTTTTTAACCTATATGATCTATCGTATTCCACATAGGATAGCTAGCTGTAGTTGTATAGAAGGACCAATGATATGAGATGGTAACCCTATCTTTAAAGCCTTATGCCCACACACACACGATGAGAATATCAGACGAATGGACATCCCTTTTGTTTTGCATGCTAATCTCATATTGAAAAGGAAAAGGTAACTAAAGTTATAAAAATTCTCGTACAACAGAATACAACTTCGGAAGTCATGTAATATATTGTATTTTATTGTAATGTGTTCTTTCATTTCCTAGCTTGGTTGGTCTTGGTCTCTCAATTTGTTTGGACAAATACTGTACTGATTAAAGGAAAATTGTTTGCTTTTTTTTCGTACGAGAAACGTTTTCATGCTTGTCCCTTCAGATATTGTCACATGAACTGTTGTGAACGGCTGTAAAAAGCTGTGATTATCATGTGATCCCTCCAATTTCTTGTCATCCAATTTTCTGATCGTACTAGGCATAACTCCATCCTTACTTCCTCTTTAAATAGTTAGTTTGGGCCAAACTGGCCCAAACAAACAATTTCCTTTACTAATTACTGCAACCCCTGTCAGTGCTGTATGTAGCATAAACTGGGCTCTGGCAGAAGTACAGGGACTTCCTGCCTCCTGCCAGAACAATATCAAGTCAGGGTAAGAGCTTCTCAGTCATTCACAGGAAGACTTGAGTTTTTATCAATGAATACAAGGCTTCTTCTGAATGTCTGCAGTGGAGATCATGACATCATCCGCCTGCCTGTCAGCCAATCAGAGGAAGCCTTGCATTCTCTGATAAAAATGCAAGGATTCCCATGAATGGCTGGGAGGTTCTCAGCCTGACTTGATTTGTTCCAGCAGCAGACAGGAAGTCCCTGTACCTACCAGAAATTCTAATCCTACCTCCATGTATTCAAAATAAGAAACAACCTTTTGGTTTGTGTCCTACTTTCACCACAAGCCTACTGGGCACTTATACCCCCTTCCTGCCCACGCCAATTTCCAGCTTTCAGCGCTGTTGCACTTTGAATGACAATTGCCTGGTCATACAACACTGTACCCATATGAAATTTTTATAATTTTTTTGTGACAGATAGAGCTTTATTTTGGTGGTATTTAATCAACTCTGGTTTCTTTATTTTTTCTTAAACAAACCTAAAACCACTGAAAATTTTGGAAAAAAAAAAAAAAAACGTTTTTTCTTAGTTTATGTTATAAAATTTTGTAAACAAGTGATTTTTCTCCTTCACTGATGTGCGCTAATGAGGCTGCAGTGATGGGCACTGATAGGCAGCACTGATGGACACTGATCGATGGCACTGATGGGCACTGATGAGGAGGCACTGGTAGGTGGCACTGATGGGCATTGACAGGCATCACTGATGGGCACTGAAAGGCAGCACTGATATATGGCACTGATTTATGGCATTGATAGGTGGTACTGTTAAGCGACACTGACTGGCACTGATGCACACTGATAGGCGGCACTGATGCGCACTGATAGGCGGCACTGACTGGCACTGATAGACGGCACTGACTGGTACTGATAGGTGGCACTGATTGGCAGCATTGATAGGTGGCACTGATTGGCATTGATAGGTGGCACTGACTGGCACTGATGGGTGACACTGAAAGGCAGCTCAGATGGGCACTGATATGTGGCATTGATGTGCACTGGTAGGCACTGATATGTGGCTTTGATGTGGCACTGCTGGGCACTGGCACGTGGCACTGATGAGCATTGACAGCTGGCACTGATGGACACTGACAGGTGGCACTGCTGGGGCTACACTGATCATCAGGGCACACTGATCATCAGTGCTCTGATGATCAGTGTACATGCCGATTGCGGAATGCCGATTACCGGCTCTCCTCTCCTCTCGAGCTGTCAGCGTGACAGCTCGAGAGGAGAGAAATGCCAATATCCGGAATTTCCCTGTTTACATGTGATCAGCTGTGATTGGGAACAGCTGATCACATGACCGAGCTGACATCTTTGGCTCTTTCTGTGGATCGGTGATCCGCTGTGTCCGAGGGACACAGTGCACCGCCAATCGCCGCGCTGTGCGCTCCAGGAGCCGCTCATGCACGATTAGAATGGGAGGACGTCATATGACATCCTCCCAGAACTAGAGAACCACCTTGCGTGTCGTCATATTACTATATGGCGGGTGGGAGGTGGTTAAAATTGATGCTACAGGTGGAAATAATTGCATGCCTGTAACTCCACCATTCATGGTAAACCAATAAATAAATTTGAAATACAGATGCACTGAGTACTTGCCCTGGCTGTCTATCATATCAGCTTCAGTTGTCATGGTGTGTTCCAGCCTCACACTTGTTAGAGTTCTGGCAAGCCACGTACCCAGATCTTGCAGTTTTGGTGGAGTGTTCCTGTAACCTCAGCTGGTCATTCCTGCATCTCCTCTGTTCCTGACCAGATATCCTGCCTGATCCACTGAGCTTACACTTCCAACCTCATGTTCTGCAATCAACATATGCAGGAACTCGTGTTCCTCCTGTCCCTCGGCACCATCTGTTCCACCTTCAGTGGGGCCTGGGCTGGAGATACAAGAGAGGCCAACTTCATCAGTTCAGACTTCTGCCAGGTATGTGACACATCCATTGCAAAATCAACATCTTTCAGTGTCCAAATGCAGCATCAACATCTATCCTGCCACCTGCATCTCCAGGATCTGCTTCCCACCTGAGATTCTGGAAATGAAGTCGGTGGTTCTGCAAGCTTACCATAGAGGTCACAGAGGACCAAAAGGTTTCTGATGACCTGTATGGTGTATGAAACTGGAAGTGATGAGTGCTGTCACTGGTTTCCCTGGATGTAAACAGTGCCATTTTTAATCACTTCAACTATGGACACTTTCACCCCCTTCCAATCCAGGCCTATTTTCAGCTATCAGCACATTCTCACTTTGAGTGATAATTTCTCAGTCATACAACACTGTACCCATATGGAATTTTTATCCTTTTTTGAAACAGAGAGCTTTTGTTTGGTGGTATTTGATCACCACTGGGTTTTTTATTTTTTGCTATAAAAATAAAAAAAAAAAACGAAAATTTTGAAAAAAATTATTTTTTGCTTAGTTTTTGTTATACAATTTTGAAAATAAATATATTTTGTTTTCATGGATTTATGCCAAAATGTATTCTGCTACATTTTGGGGATAAAAATAACCCAAAACAGTGTATATTACTTTGCATGTGAAAGCTATAGAGTCTACAAACTATGGGATATATATTTGAAAATTGATCAGTTGAGACCCTAAAATGCCAGACGCTGGTATGGCATATATCAGTGATCAGAATGCTGGGGTATGGAGGTGATCAGAATGTTAGCATGCGGTTAGGTGGTGATCGAGGTGCTGGTTTGGAAGTAGTCAGGACGCTGGTAAGAGGGTGATCAGGATGCTGACATGGGGTATGGCAGTGATCAGCATGTTGATATAGGGTATGGCGGTGATCAGAACACTGGTATGGGGTATGCTGGTGATCAGAATGCTGGTATGGGGTATGCTAGTGATCAGGACGCAGGTATGGAGTATGGCGGTGATCAAGACACTGGTATAGGGTATGGCGGTGATCAGGATGCTGGTATGGCATATGGGGTGATTAGGATGTTGGTATGGGGCATGGTGGTGATCAAAATGCTGGTATGGGGGTGATCAGGATGCTAGTATGGGGTATGGAGGTGATCAGGGCGCTGGTATGGTATATGAAAGTGATCAGAGTTCTGGTATAGCGTATGTCGGTGACCAGGGTGCTGGTATGGCATATGGCAGTGATCAGGGTGTTGGTTTGGGGTATGGCAGTGACACTGGTGATCAGGACATTGGTATGGGGTATGGGGGTGTTTTTGTGCACACTGGGACAGGTGACAGGGGTTGGCTGCATGTTTTATTATGTATATACTGGGGCAGTGATCAGGGACACAGGGGCAGTGTTCAGGGACACTAGAGTGGCTGGAACAGCAGTCTGTGAGTGTACAAGCAGCATGGCAGGCTGCTGTACACTCACACACTGCAGGATCACTGCTCTCTGCTCTCACACTGAGAGTAGAGAGACACAATCTTTGCTTTCATTTTCTTTCCATTGTTTACTATATGTGTCCTGTTATTAGTCACAGCAGTCACATGGTACAACACCATGTGATCACCCAGACACAGCAGTAATGTAATATATATATTGGGGAGTCAAATTGGATAGCCAATCCCAGCTGGGTCTGCCGTCCCCCATGTCCCATCCACCCAATTTGACTCCCCTATATATATAGATACAGGTGCATTGTGTGGGTCTTGTCAGAATACATCCTGTATGATGGTGGGAGATTAGAAGAATCAATACCTGAGGGTATGATACACACAAGGATTTTCAGCAGAGGATTCAATGAGGATCTATTGAATTGTATTTATTCAGATATGGTAGTTAAGTTGTGTAATTCCTTTCTCTTCTGATTAATTTTAGCCCCTTTTGGTTATTCTTTTAAGACCTTTGGGTATAAGCTTTATTGTGAAGTTTATCTGCCGAGGGTAGTCTCCCGTGTTTGAGGTAGGTTTGGCAGTGACTATATCAGTCCCCCCAATGAGGTGATTTACTAGTGGTGTTTTATGTGTATATTTATAATATATTTGGCTTCAATTTATTTGATTTAGTCCATTTCATATGATCTTGGGAGGGTGCCTCCCAATTTCATTTAGGCACCATCGGTAATACGTTGGGAGTTTTATCACATACAATAGAAGGTAAAGGTACTGTATTAAGCTCCCTGGCGGTATTCCTGAGTGTAGCTCGGGGTAAAGTTTCAGTACCACAAGCGGTAACCCCGAGCTACACACGGGCTTACCATGCGGCACTGCTCCGGGATCTGTTCTTGTCTTACCTTGTCCTGCGCTCCCGCGCGATGTCCCTCCTGCAGTGTCCCCTGTAATGTCCACCAGCGGATGCCGGCATCTGTCTTCTGGCGTCCGTTCCCTGCGACGTCGGGACGTACGGGGGGCAAATGGCGGGAAATTTGAAAGTGACAAAAAGTGACATTCACTAAATACACTAAAATCACATAGTACAACATTACTGTATCAAACCATTTCACATACATTTTGTCCCGAGGGCTTTGTCCTGTGCCCTGCCTGCATTTTTACTGTTCTTTCTGCCTGGAAACGGAGAAAAACGTCCATGGCGTCCAAAAAGCGTCCCTTTAGGTCAAAATCGGTTTGAGACCAGCTAGAGAACAGCGATAGTAAATTAGAACTACTTGCAGAATTGAGTGATAATGATTCGTGGGGAAATTCGTCATCAGACACTGAAAACGATTTTGCGACTTTGCTCAGTGATGTGCGAACTTGGCGCTATATTTAAAATTTCAGTGTTTTTTTTTGGTTTGATTATATTATTGAATTACATTTATTATTATTATTATTTTTTATGACTATTTATTCAATTATAATTTATGATTTCGTGTTTCAAATTTTAACATCCCCGGGATGTTTACTAGACTCTTGTTCGGACAGATTTCAGTGAGTTATTCCTAAAAATTACAGGCCTACAATAAAAAAACTACACATTTCCATGCAAAACAATGTACCGCTTTGAGCACAGAAATATGGAGATAATCAGACCGCTAGGGAGGTTAATGGGGCATGTGTGATTTTTCTTTCCTAGTTGGAATTTTTTCTGCCAGGCCCCCCTTGACTTTCCCTGGGAGGCCCACTTCTAGTTAGTTAGTATATTGGTTGGACATGTTAAGGTTTTTTTTTTTATTTTTTTATTTCTTTGACCACCGATCTCATGAATCTAGGTTGGTTCTGTGGTAGTTATGGCTTTAGAATATCGATTACATTTGGAAGGTATTTACTTTTGTTTTGTAATATATTATATATTATATGTAATTTTTGTCTTAATCTGTATAGTTTGTGAATGTCTCTGCGTTGGCATGGATCCTGATGAAGCGATATGAGCAAAACGCATTGATCCTGCACGCTTATTTTCAACACAGTGACATTGCAGTCTATTGTATATGCACAAACTGTTATTACTTGTTATCATGTTGGATGCTGCTCTGCAGATTATGTTTTTAATGTTTTTGTGATGCTATGTTTTTTAATAGAATTTTCATATTTCTTTTAAAATGTGTTATATAGCTGTATTACAAATGGCACACATTACACGCAAGCCTCCTTGTCTAAGGAGGTTTGGTAGTATTATTACATTCTATTGTTTATGGGGATGGTGCCTGTTTATAAATGTAAGGTCCTATCCACATCTATTTTCCAAAAAAGAAATTTAAAGCACCCCCTCCCCCATAACAAAATGCAAATACAAGCGTTGGTCCCATACGCATACGTAAACAGCAATCGCACCACCCATGTGAGATATTGCTACGAACGTCAGAGCGAGAACAATAATTCTAGCACCAGACCTCCTCTATAAATCTAAACTGGTAACCTTTAAAGGCTTATAAAGCGTCTCCTATGGAGATTTTAAATACCGTAGTTTGGCTCCGTTCTACAAGTGTGCACAATTTTAAAGTGCAGCATGTTTGGTATCTATTTACTCGGTGGAACACCAAATTTTATATTTTACAAATAAATTGGTGATATATTGTGCTTGTGTGCATTCATATTAAATTTTTTTCCAAAAAAAATTGCCTTTAAAAAAAATGTGCAAATACCATGTGACATAAAACAATTGCAAAAACCAACATTTTATTCGTTTGGGCCTCTGCTATAAAAAATATAATGTTTGGGGGTTCAAAGTAATTTTCTACCAAAAATACTGATTTATACCTGTAAAAAAAAGTGTCAGAGGAAGGCCTGGTCTTAAAGTGGATAATGCCTAATGCCTAAACATCTTTGGGGCTAGGCTGTGAAAAAGTCTCACACATGTGGTATCACCATACTCAGGAGTACCAGAATGTGTTCTGGGGTGTAATTGCAAGTATGCCTATGCCGTGTGTCAGAAATAACTTGTTAATATGACATTTTTGTGAAAAAAAATATTTAATTTCTTAATTTTCCAAAGAATTGTGGGGAAAAAAGTACTACTTCATGCTTCTTACTAAATACTTTGGACTGTGTTTTTTCCAAAAAAATGGGTAATTTGGGGGATATCTGAACTTTTCTGGCATGTTAGGGCCTGCTATGAAATGAGTTAGGCATCAGCACATCATATGTGATAATTTTTCAATGATACATAGCATAGCTTGTAGACTCTAGAACTTTCACAGGTTTTTTTTTTTTTACCAAAGAACTGTAGCTGTATACATTTTGGTTAAAATTTATTAAGAAAAATTTCTTTTTTGCTAAATTTTATAACCAAAAGTTTTTTTTTCATTTATAGTGCAAAAAATAAAAATCCCATTGGTGATTAGATACCACTTAAAGTTTTATTTGTGTGAAAAAAAATGATAAAAATTTCACATGGGTACAGTGTTGCATGACTGAGTAATTGTCATTCAAAGTGTGAGAGCGCTAAAAAAAAAAAAGTGGCCTGGGCAGGAGGTGGTTAAATAAAATTTTTAATCATGCAGTCTTTTAGTTATCTTTAATCAACCATAGTTAACTCTTTCTCTCCCTGCTACATTTTGTAGCTATTATTTGTTCATTATTAACCATTTCTTTTCTTTTGTTTGTTTGTGGTTTGCTTATTTATAATTGCATTAAAAAATATGAGATGAAAAGAATTTGTTTTTCCTCATTTATAAATAGCTTTGCCATATTGAACTGGTGTCATTATAAGCAGGACATGTAACTGAATAAAATGTAAGCTTTTTTAGAACAGTAACTCTAGTTCTAAAACAAATATAATCAAACTAGATAAAATTGTAAATAATATGGTAACTAATGAAAAAAATTCATCCCAAATCAATAGGCTCATAGCTATAATGTAAAAATTGCTCTGGTTCAAAAGATTTAAACAGATGTGGGAACTAAAGTGGTTAAATAAAAGTAACTAAACTTTTAACTTTGTTGTAGGTCACAAAGTGAAAGGGTACAGCAGGGGGCTGATATGTGTGATTTGGGAACACAAGCAAGAATGGCACTGAGATTTTTCTTATTGTATCCTTTCTGAGCCAGCATTGCAGTACAGGAAATAGATGGTGATCATGGATGATGCCCAGAGCAAAGGTGGTGCTGCCTGCTGACTGGAAAGAAAAACAGATGTAGACTTTGTCAGTGGGGTTCTTTAATTTCTTTGAGATGTAATAATACTTGCGAGTGTTACTTTTACAAATACATTAGCGGAATTTAGAAAGAATATTCATTCAAAAATTCTTGGGAAACTTTTGTATGTAAATTGTTAGAACATTCGAATGTCGTTTGAAAGTAGTTCAAGATTTCATTTGCTTTTAATGCTCGATTTTGGAATGAATGGAATGAAAATCAGAACAGTGTTAGAAATTCCTGCTTCTTTGAATTTCGTCATCACTGCAGTATAAAACCAACTTCAATTTGACCCACTAATGATTAGAAAACTGAATGTAGCACCGTTTAGTGTGCTACTAGAATAATGTAGTGTATTGTAGGTAAAATCATTGTGTATGACTCATGGTACCTGTGTGAGACTGATTAAGGTTGGGTTATTGCAGGTCAACTGGATGACTCAACAGGTTGTGGTTTTATCACTTCCTCCTAACTCTGATGGACCATAGACCCTTCCAGAAGTTGGTATGCAGGAAAGGGTGGAGGCCTAATTTGCATATTTATGGGAGTCCCACCAATCCCAGTTTTGGAGGCCTTGGTAGAGTAGTGGACTGGCCCATAAATATGGAAGTGTCAGGCTGACAGGAGAGTTGGGTGGAAGATGGAGTGCTGAGGAGACCTTTTGGTGCCTGGGAGGGGTCCCATAAGTCTAGGGGG